TTCCTTCCTTCCTTCCTTCCTTCCTTCCTTCCTTCCTTCCTTCCTTCCTTTCTCTTTCTTTCTTTCTTTCTTTCTTTCTTTCTTTCTTTCTTTCTTTCTTTCTTTCTTTTTTTTTTTTTTTTTTTTTGTGTGTGTGTAATCCTGGCTGTCCTGGAATTCACTGTGTAGACCAGGTTGACTTCAAACTCACAGGAATCTACCTGCCTCTGCCTCCAAGTGCTGGGATTAAAGGTGTGTGCCACCACCATCTGGCTCAGATATTTACTCTCAATGACAGCCAGCCAGACTTTTTCTTGTCCAATGGCTGAAGAAATGGCCCAGAGAGGTGAAATGAACTCTTAAGAGTCATACAACATAGAATCTAGTTAGGACAACCCGAGTATTTTTATGGCCAATCAGAACAATCAGAAGTCTTTTGAAAGTGTCTTATGAATCTTTTTTTTTTTTTTTTGGTTAGTACAAATCTACCACAATAGTATCTGCAATAATATATCTGACTGCCTCATTTTAATTACCTATCTCATAACAAATCTTATAGTAGTGAGTTTGTCTGACTATTAAGGTGCACCACTAGACATTTCCATTCAGACACAAAGAGGCCTGAAAAGCTAGGACGAATGTGTGGAAACTACTGTGATTTGGAAGCCATCTCCCTCACAAGCTGAAGTTAACCTTAAGAAAGCTCCTCTAAGGGCAGAACAGCAAAAGGAAAATTCATTTCTGCACCTGGTTTTAGGCTTTCAAGTACTTTGTCCTCAAAATTTAGTCCCCAATTCCTCTTTCATCCCGTGGGCATCTTAATATCTGGTGTGTCCTGTATATTTTGTATATTCCTTCGGTGGTGTGTCGGTAGATTCAGGGAAGTGCTGTTTACCTGCATAGATGTGCCCTTAGACTGGAGAATTCTCTGAGGGTTCCAAGAGACCAAACGTAAAGACCAAAAGTCATGGCAAGACAGCTAAACCCAAAGAGCTAGGCTACACTTCCGAATCCTCGCACATGACTTCCTCCTGGAGACTGTGGTTGGGACCACACTAAGCCATATATGTGTATATGTATGTGTGCATTTATGTCCTCCAGAGGGAAGGCTTGGACACTGTGTCACTGTCCATGGTTCTGACAGTCTAGGGCTCTAGCATAGAAAGGACAATCTCCCATTCCATCATCTTCTGAGGGAAACAAAAAATCCTCTTGATTTTCCTTCGGCCTTCCTTTCCACCTTGATTTTTAGATTGTTTCTGTGTCACCCCATAAGTTTCTAAATCATTCCATGTTCTCAGTGAACACACATTCTCGCTTGTCTGGTGATGTCACAGAGCACTGTTATCTCCTTTGACACTGCGCTTTCCATCACCCTGCACCCGTCATTGAAGACTCTCTCATCTCACACGGGTATAGCGGGTCTTCAAGGACTGGCTGCTGACAGCGCAGGCACTTCTCCCTGCTACCACTGTGCGGAAGGCATCCTGAGCATCCCAGAAGAGTCCCTTATGTTCTCACAGGTGGGGTAACCATCTTCGCCCCGCTTTTAAGTTAGCATGGTGGCTGTGGAGGATATTCAGTGTGGTCTGTGGTATACAGGGTAAGGATCCTTGGCCACCTTTATCTAATGATTTCTGTTTTCTGGGGACAGTTCGCTTTTGTGCTCTGAGCAGGAACTCAGAAGTGAATGAGCTGATTGGCAGAGTCACGCGTCTCCCTCCTGTGTGTCTGTCAGTGAAGACACATTCAGAATCCCTTTGAAGGTTTGGAGATATTACTGCTACCACCCTCTGCTGCTAGTGAGGGTAAGCTGGTAGCTGGTAGCTAACACTGATGGTCTGAGTTAGCACTCCTGTATTGCTCGGCATGTACCTGGAGCTGTTCTCAGTGCTTTGTAGATATTAATCTCCCATAGGAACTCTGTGAGAGAGATCTGTAATCCTCACATTTTTAAAATGTGAGACAGTAGAGCACAGAGAAGTTAAATAACCTGTCCAAGGTCACACGCATGATTAAGTTTTTCTTTATTGCTAGCTCAGTGGGATCTTCATTTCTAGTGATTAGAAGTAGGGCTGATCCCCGATGGCCTGGCTATCAGGACAATTGTCAGGTCTCAGAGAACTTGGGGTCTGCTTTCTTGAGCTCTGAGAACATGACTGGTGTGTACTCAACCTCCCTCCTGGACCACATACAAAGTAGAAAACATTCATTTTTGTACTATCACCCTGTTCATCTCCATTGGCAGAGAGTATGGCCTGGAAAGGAAGTATGAGCTGTGGGCAGCCTATGAGGTGATAGAGGATGGGCAATGGGATGCACTGGCATGCGTAGGATTTGTGAAAATGGGTTGGGTATCTTGGCATGCTTTGAAATAATGCCCTTGCAGGAATGAAAGCCGAGAACAATTCCACTCGCTGGAATTCTGCCCCGACGTCCAGCTCAGTGTGTCTCTGAGTTACCTGGGTGGCTCAGCTGCTTAACATTTCTGTTTGTTTGTTTTGTTTTTTTCTCCTTCTCTCCCCTTTTATGCTTTCCCTCCATTCTCCTTAATTCACCATCCCCCTCCTTTGTCCCTCCTCCACTTTCTTCCTCCCTTCCCCCCTCCCCTTCCTCACTCCCATCTACTTCCACTTTCCTGTTCCTCTGTAGCCATCACACGGTGACAAGACTTCAAACCCTGAAGTTCTGAAATGGATGAATGATTTGGCTAAAGGTCGAAAACAGCTCAAAGGTATGTGTCTTTCCTCTCAGAGGGGACCATTATAATAGCATAATGTCAAGGGCAAACTGCAATCCATTTCTGCCTGAGCCTTCTTGAGCTTGAGTTTCTTGCTTAAAAGAGCTCCTTTTGAGTTGACTCTACACATCATTCAGGCCCTTTTAATAAACCTCTTTACAAGAGACCCAGGACCTCCAGCCAGTGCGTGGAGTTGGTTCCTAGATTGTTGGAAACACAAGTAGCCTATGGAGTTCTCCACGCTACAGTTTTACTGTCCAGGTGAGCATGATAAGCACTGAGGGAAAGTCATGTGGCTTAGAGCTGTTGAGGCAGGCAGACACCTTGGCTGCCTGCCTCTGGGTCCAATGCTCCTTTTCTTTTGTTTCTTCATGGGATGGTAGTTTATTATTAATGCTAAGGACAATTACTGTGCACTCATGAACTTATTTCCTTCCTCTTCCTGTTCTGCAAGTCAACACTTAGATGTATAGGGGATGGTCTAACATTCTGGAAGTTTCATGATTGAAAAGTAGAAGGGAATAGTAATGTGATGGCACTAAACTGTAATGTTGTAGCATGCTTCTAAAACATTCAATGTTTAAGTTTCAAGCCAGAGCTTGGCATGGTGGCTTACAGGCTCAGTATTTGGAAGGCTGAGGCAGGAGGACTTTTAGATTGGGATACACAATAAGTTGCAGCCAAGCATGCACTACAGTTAGACACTGAATCAAACAACAACATAAACAAAACACAAAGCCAGAGCTCAAAACTAAATGAAGAAAATGAGCTATATTGTATAATTGAAAACAAAATCAGTATAAATGGTCTTACTCAAATTCAACTTCTCCTTCCCATGGCATGTTCTCTAACGCAATTCCCAGGTGTGTTTTTAATTTTTAATCATCTAAGGATGCATAAAGCCCCATTGTCAGGATGGTGGGCTCTGGATTTTGAAAGTTAACATTAGTGGGTAGAGAAATATCTCAGGGTTAAAGAGTGCTTGCTTCTCTTCTAGAGGACCAAAGTTTAGTTTTCAGTAGCCATGATGCTGGGTGGCCCACAGGCACCTCTAACTCTAGCTCCTAGGAGTTGTGAAATCATCTCCTGGTCTCTGAGGGAAACACACACACACACACACACACACACACACACACACACACACACACA